TTGGTATTTTTTTTAGAATTATACAATATGTAATGGATACTTTTTAGTAGGTACCTATATACAATTTTTTCTGAATTCTGATGTATAATGGAGCCATTAAACCAGTTTTTACCTATTGCTACTTTCAGTTTGTACATATTAATATATTTTTAGATATCATATTCCTACCAATAAAGTTGTTGGAGACATATGGCTCCAACGAATTGGAAATCCAAACTTTTCAAAAACTGAAGACACCGTACTAAGACTGCATCCAAGCAAATGAAAGTTTATTGTCTAACGCTTTGCCGTTATTAAAATTAAAAAGTATATATAAGAAATATAATTACTCACCGTTTTTATATCAATTTTATTATCTTATTTTAGAAAGTACGGATACTGCAACGCTGAGTTATTTTTTGTATAGGAAGATACAACAATAAAAAGCACCTGAAAGAATTAGAGGTAATAAATATATCTTCATATATTTAAGTTTTTGTTTAAGTGTATATTCTTGTAGAGGCAATTAAAAGAACTTCAGAACCTACCCAATTGTCACCTATTGTTGACTGTTTCAAAACAGAAACTAAAATACCCTGCAAATCGATTATTTGGTGAATAACATCAATGAATATGACTTTAATAGGGATACAGAGCCAACTTGCCATAGAAACTTTCGTACTTCTGGTGGATACAGCCATGGGTGAACTTCCTATTTTCGTTGTGTATTCTAATAACAATTCGTGCAGTTTTAATTCTAATAATAAAATATATATGATTATAATCGTGTTTTACTTCATAAGATGTATTTTTTGTTCCACAAATCCAAAATTAAAATTTTTCTTTTTAACATATTTTAAATTTTTATCTATCACAGAACATTAGCCAATGGATCATATCCATCTAAGTATGTCGAGTGAAGAATAAAATGATTGAATTATTTTAAGTGAAAACGAATGAAAAATTATAATTTTGAAGAACTTAGTACTGGTTTATTAGAAAGGCCGAGTTTGAAAAACCCGCGATCATTGACCCCTACCGCCATCTATATAATAAATCAAGAATAAATTGCCAAGTATAAGTTATCTTTTTTTTTTAACTCAGCTATGTGCAACAACTACAGATGGCGCTGAAAGATGAGTATAATTTTTTACTGTTGAGTGGCCCATCTTTTAAAGGGTATAGTAGGGACAGAAGTTGGAAAGGCTTTTGCTTTATACACATGAATTGACAGGTTTGCGGCGTATCTAACCGAAGTGGATGCGATACATTGGCATACAAAATTATTTAATAGATGTTAATAACAATTTTGAGTAAATATTTTAATAAATTGTGAATAGCAATTGAAATTTTGTAGAATTATGATTTGGATATTATAATACATGTTTAATAATTATTTATAGTCCATAAATACATGCGATTATCCGGTTCCGCCGGTAACTATTTAAACGACACTGGCAGGTAAACAATACTGCGAAATTCTTGAAGCTGTCCCATGTGGTTTGACGTTTACCCCCTTTCTACCTACCAAAAGCCTTTTCAACTTTTGCCCCTACTATATGGCCTATGATTATAATGAGAGCTGTGGTTTCTCAAGATCCTTGTGTATCCGAGCCAATCAAAAGTTTGCATGACGTAAATCGTGGCGTCTCTAACAAGAGGCGTTTTCTAATATTCATCGATACCATCTAGCATCCATCAAAACCGTTCTTTTATTTATCAAAAATTTTTAGATGAGTCATACATCATATTCTTAAATTCAACCGAGTTCTCAGGTGGTTGTAACCAAATCCATCGGACTCGATTGTGTTGATGCACTGATGGATCACGTGACATAACCTTAAATTATTAATTATTATTAAACAGATAAGAAAAAAGGAAAAGTTCGCCCAAAATTCTTAATAATATGAGTGAAAAAACTCACTGCGTTTCATTAATCCAAACTCTAGGTAGGTTAACTTTTAAAATAAGATTGTCAGCATTAGATATACCTACAGCAAGCAAATGAAGGCAACTACATATTTTTTCAATTATTGTATTACCCATACTTATTTTTAGATTTGATGCTTATCAAAAAGTAGTTATATTTATTTGCTTTCATTAAATAAAGACAGTTTGACAGTTAATATTACAAAATCACAAATGTTGGTCGTTCTTAAAAATAATTTCCATCAGATAAAAATCAGGATTGCAATTTATTGGTCACGTGATCAGGATTCCAGCAGTCGACCATTTGTTGGTCACGTTATCCATCATCAGTCCATCATTTTGTTGAAGATTAGAAAGCTCCTAAGTAGGAGATAAATGAATGGGCGTTTTTTAATATTCAACAAAATGATGTACTGATGATGGATAACGTGACCAACAAATGGTCGACTGCTGGAATCCTGATTTTTATCTGATGCAAATTATTTAAGAACGACTGACATTTGTGATTTTGTAATATTAACTGTCAAATTATCTTTATTTAATGAAAACAAACAATTCAAACACTTATGATAAGCATAAAAACTAAAGACAAGTATGGACAATAAAATAATCAAAAAAATGTGTACTTGTCTTCATTTGCTTGCTGTATATACAACGCCGGCAATCTTATTTTAAAAGTAAACCAACTAGGAGGTTGGTTTAATAAAACCCAGTTAGTTTCTTTATTCATATTATTAAGAATTTTGAGTAACCTTTTTCTATTTCCTTATTAGTTTAATATTAATTAATAATTTAAGGTTATGTCACGTGATCCATCAGTGCATCAACTTAATTGAGTCGATGGATTTGGTGACAACCATCTGAGAAATAGGTTGAATTTAAGAATTTGATGTATGACTCATCTAAAAATTTTTGATGTATAAAAGAACAGTTTGGATGATTGCTAGATGGTATCGATGAATATTAGAAAACGCCTTTTACGTATTTTACCGGGTGTTCAAATTAAAGTGTTACAGTTAAATACCGTCGAAAATATGCATTTTAGGAAAAAGTTTCAGACAAAAGTTTTATAGTTTTTTGGGGGAAACATTTTGGCTAAACTCATTTTTTTATAGCTGACCATAATATGGCCATATCGGGATGAACTTTTTTTTTTTAATTGGAACCCTATTTTTTACATATTCTTAAAGTACATAGAAAAATAAGAGACTTTAAAGGAAAGTATTTTTTTTTATTGGACTTTTACTTTTTGAGTAACAGCTACTTGAAAATTTTGCTGCGCGAAAAAAAAATTGGCCATATCATGGTTAGCTATAAAAAACGATTTTAGCTAGCTAAAAAAATTTCCCCACAAAACTATAAAACTTTCGTCTGAAACGTTTTTTTATAAAAGGCGGTGCTTAGCTGTAACACTTTAATTTGAACACCCGGTATATAATGCTGTGTGCTCTGTTGTTTAAAATAATGGATCCAAGTTTAAATTATAGATTAAGAAAAACAGATTTTTTTATTATTTATATATGTTATGCAATCGTCTTTAGCGGACTTTGTACTTTATTTATTTATAGTTGTAAAAGAGACTCCAGTTACAGATAAAACCATTCAGTTTTAGATCCAGGAGGAACTATCTCTTAAGGAGGGGACAATGTAGTGCAATCGTGACCTAGACTTTGGGATGCCGACGACGAGAAGACATAGCCGGTGAAGATTATGTGATCCAGCTACGAATAAAAATGGACGACATGCATGAGTTAGTTCGCTTGCATCTTCAAATCGCCAGTGACATAATGAAGAAACCGATACGATACTCAAGCTACAGAAGGATGTTTCAAGGAAGGCGATAAAGTCTGGCCCCATAACTCAAAGAGACAAAAGGGTTATTTTCCGAAGCTTCAAAGGTCTTGGAAAGGTCTGTACTTCATTAATAAAATAATTTATGATGTCCTTTATGGTTTAAGTAAGATTCCGAACGGTATAACAGACTGTAGCCATAACCATCTCCAAGAAACACCTGACCTTGTCTTTGAAGAATTTATGTATGCATTTGGAGGTACCAGAAAAGCAAGACAAGATGTTACATACCGAGTAATAACAAGACCTGCTTGCGGTTCCTAAAGACTACTCGCTAGTTTATATAGTCTATAGCACTTCCGCCAGCATCAACGACGCTCGGAGTCTGGCATGTCTGTTCCGAAAGAAGTTTGGTCTGAAGGAGCATGTACTGGAGTCCAATGTTAAGAAATTAGCCATGCTGAAGATAGAGAGCTTCTAGCTGAATTGGAGGATCATTATGAACACAGTGGAAGTGATCTTTCAAGATACTGATATCCAGATACTGGTCTGCAGCTATTTGCCTAGTGTCCGGGTTTCAGCAAAAACTACTACTTGGTATTTCCATGCCAATGAAAATTGTAAAAGAGAATCCAGTTGCAGATACAACCATTTAGTTTTAGTTCCAGGAGGAACTATCTCTTAAGGAGGGGACAATGTTATGCAATCGCCTAAAGCCGACTCTGTACTCTATTTTTATTCAATAGCGCCAATACGTCTTTGTTTTCACTTTTATTGCGCCCGTATCTCATGATCGAGACATTGCTAGAATTTTCACAGTATGCAGCCGACGCGTAGAGGAAGCACTTCACGGACGCTTTGAGATTCTTCTATCCAGGATTAGTTCTTTCTAGACTGTTATTTTTTTGTATAAAGAGCGCGACTTTGTCGGTAAAAGTTAAGTATGTTCCAATAAAAACTGTCTGTTGTTACTTTTTTTAAAGTGAAAGCCAATTTTTTGAATCCATGTATTAATTGACGTTTCAGAACATTGCACATCAGGCTTTTCTTCCAAATATCGTTTATGTAACATGTTGTGTACCTTCGCACATCTTGTAAATAACTTGCCTCAACCTACTTAATATTAATGAATTTACTTTTGTTTTACTTTTTTTAGAGTTTATTTTCACATACTCTGTATTAGAAATTGTTGGTTTACTAAGTCTATAGATAGTTTTCTGCAAAATTTTAATGTCTCTTGGTTTTTAGGAAACGATTTTATAAAAAGTGTCGTTGGTACTTTAATGTAATTTTGGTTTCAAATGAATCTATGTAAATCCTTATAACGCTAGTTACTAAACTTATTACAAAATTTGTTACCGAACTTGTACCGGAACTTGATGCAGAATTTGTTACAGAATTTATTACAGAACTTGTTACAGAACTTTTTACATAACTTCTACGGTGTCTAGTTACAGAACTTGTACCGGAACTTGTTACAAAATTTGTTACAAAACTTGTTACAGAACTTCTTACAGAACTTGTACCGGATCTTGTTACAGAACGTATACTGGAACTTGTTACAGAACTTGTTACATAACTTCTTAGATAATTTGTTAGATAACTTGTTAGATAACTTGTTAGATACCTTGTTAGATAACTTGTTAGATATTTGTTGCAGAACTTGTTACATGACTTGCACCGGAAGTTGTTACAGAACTTGTTGCACAACTTTTTAGATTAATTGACAGATAAATTGTTAGATAACTTGTTAAATAAGTTGTTATATAACTTTTTAGATAACTTGTTAGATACCTTATTGGATAACTTGTTATATAACTTGTTAAATAACTTGTTAGATAACTGGTTAGACAACTGGTTAGACAACTTGTTAGATAACTTGTTAGATAACTTGTTAGATAACTTGTTAGATAACTTGTTAGATAACTTGTTAGATAACTTGTTAGATAACTTGTTAGATAACTTGTTAGATAACTTGTTAGATAACTTGTTAGATAACTTGTTAGATAACTTGTTAGATAACTTGTTAGATAACTTGTTAGTTAACTTGTTAGATAACTTGTTAGATAACTTGTTAGATAACTTGTTAGATAACTTGTTAGATAACTTGTTAGATAACTTGTTAGATAACTTGTTAGATAACTTGTTAGATAACTTGTTAGATAACTTGTTAGATAACTTGTTAGATAACTTGTTAGATAACTTGTTAGATAACTTGTTAGATAACTTGTTAGATAACTTGTTAGATAACTTGTTAGATAACTTGTTAGATAACTTGTTAGATAACTTGTTAGATAACTTGTTAGATAACTTGTTAGATAACTTGTTAGATAACTTGTTAGATAACTTGTTAGATAACTTGTTAGATAACTTGTTAGATAACTTGTTAGATAACTTGTTAGATAACTTGTTAGATAACTTGTTAGATAACTTGTTAGATAACTTGTTAGATAACTTGTTATAGAACTTGGTATATAATTCGTTACATATCTTGTACCCGAAGTTGTTATAGAACTAGTTGCACAACTTTTTAGATAACTTGTCAGATAACTTATTAGATAATTTGTTACATAACTTGTAAGATAACTTGTCACAGAACTTTTTACATAACTCGTTACATAACTTATACCGGATGTTGTTACAGAGCTTGTTGCACAACTTGTTAGATAACTTGTCAGATAACTTGTTAGATAACTTGTCAGATAACTTGTTAGATAACTTGTCAGATAACTTGCTGGATAACTTGTTATATACCTTGTTATACAGTGTGTCTACTTAAGTTGGAACCATATGGAAAACATTTTTATTATTGATTTTAGGCAAAAATTTATTCTTGATAAAAAGTTCTGCATGACTCAAAACCTAAAATATATTCATCACATATCAAATTTTTCAAGCCGTATTCGAGGTTTGTCAAAAAATATGAATTTTGCTCAAGAGTAAAGTACGTTTATTTTTGACAAAATCGAAAATTTTCATTAAGAAAAGTTGATAAGAATTGAATATTACATTAAAATATGCAATTACACTGATCTATATGAAAAAACAGATTTTCTTATTTTTTATAAACTCTACACTCTACACATTGATTGTAAATATCTGAAAACATTATAAATTACGTTAGCTACTATAAACATGATACGCTTTCCTTTTGTTGATGTTTGTGAAGAATTTAGCAAATTTCTTAATGAAAATTTCGATTTTGTAAAAAAATAAACGTACTTTACTCCTGAACAAAATTCATATTTTTTGACAAACCTCGTATACGGCTTGAAAAATTTGATATCTGATGACTGTATTTTAAGTTTTGGGTCATGCAGGACTTTTTATCAGGAATAACTTTTTTTTTTTAAATCAATAATAAAAATGTTTTCCATATGGTTCCAACTTAAGTAGACACACTGTATAACTTGTTATATAACTTGTTACATATCTTGTTATCTCTTATTACATAATTTGTTTTCACCTAATTTGTTACGTAACTTGCTACATAAGTAGTATAGAATAGAACTTGTTATAAAAGAAGACTATTCTTGTTATGTAGATCATGGAATTTGTGGTTATTTTTAAAACTTAAATTTAATTCTTTAATTTTGCAATTGTTCTTGTTTTTTGTGTACCGAGTTTTCTTTTTTATGTATTTATTACGAAGTTTTTCTCTTCATAATTGAATACAGATATTTCCCAAAAAATAGCGTAATGTAGTTAGTTTTATCGATGTAACCTGTATAACTGTATATTTTCCATCTCTGTTCCATATTTTTATTCATTAAATGATAAACGATCGTGTTGGGTTATCCTTCTTTGGCATTTTTCTTTCGGTCTAGTCGTTTTTCGAATCTGGCTCAAGGACTATACCAGAGGGGACTCGTACGTATAAAACTCAACTTGACTGTGTTAACACGCTTATTATTCAAAAGTTCACATTGCATTAAAAATGAAATTTCCTATTGTGCTCTTCTGCGTCCTTGGTAAGTTGAATTCTCTGTATTGTCAAACCAGTTATTATCTAATCAAACAAAATTTGCAGAATAATATGTAGATTTTTATGTTTTTGACTAGTGAAAGATATAATCACGCGATTTCAGGTATATTTTTATGTACATACCTAAAAATAAATATTACAAATTGAAATTGCATATATATATATAAATTGTTATCACTGTATTTTAAGCAATTAAACATCGTTTTAGAAACATATTAAATAATTAAATTTTCAATTTCTTAAATATGAATTTTACAGGAAACAAATAAATATTGCCTAACTCTTAAAAAATTCACTAATTATATACTATGAGGAGATATAGTGATCCATAAAAATGTCTCAAGTAGGCAATGACCAACAAATACAGAGATGCGAGTCATAATAACTAAAAGTGGTCTGAATTAAATCCAAACTGATAAATTAAAAAGAATTTTTCCCAATGGGTATTACGAGCAGAAAGTAGCACTTTGGCGTCAGCGGAGTGCGGCAATCTGTCGAAACTGACAAAGGACTTTCTGCTCGAATTACATACAATATTTTTTCTACGATCGTACCAAAATAAATAATTTAATTTTATTAGAAATGAGTTACCATCTTCCGTTATAATATTTTAAGTTTATTTAAAATAAGCCTACTCTTCGAAGAGAAAAAAATGTTTAAGTACTTATGTGTCGACAATTATTTAAGATTTAATAATTCAATTATTTATGGAAAATAGTGTTGGATGATTTAAAATATTTGGAAGTCAATTAAAATATTTTAGATTAGTCTACATTTGGTTTTAAAATACGGATTGGCTTTCTTTTATATAATTCAAATTTAAAGTTACTTTGCCGCAAATTATGACAATTCGCGGAAAACGTCAACTTTCTAGTTAGATTTGAATGTGCAAAAGCCTACATCAGATAGTGATCGTAGAAAAAAACAGATTTTGTGGATTACTATTATCATATCATTTAATAATCACAAATTTGTACATTACATTATTAAAATAATTATAAGATACTAATATTAAGCACATTTATTGGTGATTGATGCTACTTCACCCAAAATTTAAGTTGCAATTTTCCTTTTATTTTCGTTGGAATCTTAAATGCATCATAATAGATTTTCACCCATCTCGTAGAAATCAATCGTCACAAACGTTCAGTAATGTTAGATATACAACGCTCTATTATTTTTAACAGTGTCAGTCAGTAATTGACTCGAATGTATCTAGCGTTACTGTCGTTTTCTAAAAATTTTAGTATTGGCGTTGGCGTTGGTCCAAGCCCTCCCGTCCAAAGGTTCAACCAAAGCTTCGTTACAGAAGAAACCAGCATGTCTAAAAGACTGCAGTACCATTGATTACGCACCAGTTTGCGGAGGAGATGGCACTGGTAAAGGAGACAAGAGTTTCGGAAGTGAATGCGTCATGCAAAATTTCAATTGCGAACACAACTCTAGTAAGTAAAACAACAGTATTGAGTAGGTATTATTCATCATCATTCATTATTCATCATTCATAATTATCATCCAATCTATCTTGTCAGTTGTTTCGTGTTTTCACTAGATATTTCAACGACCTGTCAAACAATAGATGCCGGTGGGAAGGGCTCGTATATCTAAGGGGTTGCGACATAGTGTCTTTTATTTTGACTCGTATTTTTATTCTAAATAGTAGTCGCCAATCCTTTTTTTTTAATATTATTTTTGTGTTCGACATAAGGTATTTAAATTAAATCCAATATTCATAATTTCACGTGTTGTAGATAGAATACATCGTATGTCGCAATGCCTTAGATATACCAACCCTTCCCACCGACACCCATTTCGTTTGGAGTGCCTAATTTGTCCAACAAGCTTTTTGTTCCTTTATTTTCTCTTGAACGATGGATGGAATGGAATACGTTTCTACTTAGAGTCAGCGGCTTTTATGGTTGCCCTAAGGGATGGAAATACCTAAATAGTTAAAAAAATACCCTTTGAGACATTAGAGAGATATAAATTTCTATAACGTCAGCCACTAATAGTGACAACGTAATTAGAGGCAAATAAATTCCATGGTCAAATTTCAAGCAAAATAGTTGTCCGTATGTAATGACAGGCCACTGACAGGTACATGATAGGTTAAGATCTATTATATTATCTAAGGGTTAAGATATGACAACACTGTGAATTGACAGGGTCAATGGTATGGATAGTTATATAGATTGAATAACCATGTTTTTAAAAATAAACAAGCTTAAGCCTTGAAATAATAATGTAGGTAATTATTTTTAATATATTCATATTTTTGCTAAACCGATTCGAATTAATGATCACCTACGAGGCAATATGGCTGCTTTCAAACGACCCGCTTTGATTAATCTATCGACATCATTGACCCTATCAATCACAACATGCCCACAGGGTTGCATATCTAAACTGTCAAAGTAAGAGCGGCACTAATAGTGACTGACCTTAAGTGAACTTGCAATTAGGCATTCCAACGACCTGCCAAAATGCTAACAAGTGGAAACTAACAGTTAGATATAGCAACCCTGTGGGCCTGTTGTCATTGAAATAGTTGTATAGATTGCTCAAAGCGTTTCCTTTGCGAGTGGCCATATTTCCTCGCAAGTGCTCATTAATCAGAATCGATTAAGCAAAAATGTGTATACAAACCAATTTTCAACTTTTGAATATAGTAAAAAAATAAATACCTACATTTTTTTACTTCAACCCAGACAGCACAAGTCAATCCATTGGATGTCCATCGAAAGTCCATTCATGGACGTCCAGCATTTTATCGAAGGACATCCAATGGACATCCACTGGACTATACAAATGTCCCACTCCTGGACGTCCATTTGGACTCCATGAAAGGTCCATATATGGACTCTTTTTGTATTGCTTTTGGAGAATTTATGGACATCTGACGGACATCACCACCTATATTAATATGAAATAAAATAATTGCAACTATGGACTTATTTTTATTGTCATAAATAATATCAAGCATGTATTAGTTTTATACGCACTCCTTTCTGTTGACCTTCTCCGCCATTTTCTTAAGGGTATTTCGCTTACTTTTTAAGCAGCACCATTGTCACTCTCAGCAGCAGCTAAAAAAAGACTACATTTTATACGAATATTGAGTCTTAAATCAATTGTTTAATACACGCCTGATCAGACAAAACTGATAGTTAAAAATGTAAAACTTTTAGATAAAATGTTATTAACTAATACGAAAATATGCATTGACTAATGTACTTTACGTCTATACTTACATATAAAAAACTGCTCATTATTTCTTTAAATTACCATTTTACTTTCATACGAATTCTTTTGAGAGGATATTAGAAATTATGGAAACAAAACATCTTTTCATAAGTTCGTCATGTCCTTGTCCCTGGTTTTGGTAACTGCTGAATTTAAAATTGCAATAAAAATATGTATTTGTGAACATTAAAGATAAATAACTTATGAAACCACTTTCAATGCATTATTTCTTAAAC